TCAGACCAAATGGTGTTGGACGAAGCTCCAGACAAGGCTGGCCCTACAAACGGGGCAAATAGCGTATCGGTTGAGCCCAAAGTAGAGCCAACAGTGAATTCAGAAGCATCAAACGTTTTTAAAAATACCAAAAACGATGCAAACGCAGAACAATCAGTGCAAAAGACAAATGAGCAATCACCGCCACAGGTGGATCAAGAACTGAAGCAGAGTACTTCAATACGGACAGGACCAGAGAATGATAATTCAGTAGTCAAGAAACCATCCATTGATATTATTAATGTGGACACTGTGGAAAAGGATACGCCAATCCGTACCGTATCAGAGACAGATAATTCAGTCAAGGAATCATCAGCATCCCAAGATATAAACAAGGACGCACCTCTGCAGACAATAGCGGAGAAAGCGGTTGAGACTTCAGTGGATAGCCATATCCAGAATGATGCTGCTCCAGCAGTACAGCCACCTTCCGACACACCAGGCACTGCTCCAATGAAGAAGTCCGCCGAAGAGACCCCCATTGACAATGCGACAAAGGATACGCCGAATATTCAGACAACAACAGTACAGCCACCAGCCGACACACCAGGTGCTACTCCAATGAAGAAGTCCGCCGAAGAGACTCCAATTGACAATGCGACAAAAGATACCCCGAGTATTCAGACAACATCAGCACAGCCACCATCCGACACACCAGGCACTGCTCCAATGAAGCAGTCCGCCGAAGAGACTCCAATTGACAATGCGACAAAGGATACGCCGAATATTCAGACAGCAACAGTACAGCTACCATCCGACACACCAGGCACTGCTCCAATGAAGCAGTCCGCCGAAGAGACTCCAATTGACATTGCGACAAAGAGTACGCCGAGTATTCAGGCAAAATCGTCAGGGGCAGATACTGCAGTTATTAAGGAATCTCAGGATGTACAAGTCGACAGTGAAAATAAGGATGACACTCCAATGGAAGCAGCAGGCTCTGAGGGAGATACTTCACTTAAGGAACCTCAGGTGACTCTGGCCGACGACGAGAAAAAAGATGCACCGATGCAGACGGCAGCAGAATTAGAGGCGCCAGATAATTCAGTCAAGGAAGAATCTGCATCTGGCAATAATACCGAGGTTAATAATGTGAAAAATGTCACTGCGATGCCAAATTCTCCACCAGGGACAGAACATTCAGTCAAGGAAGAATCATCATTACAAACTGCAAAGT